GGAGTCTAATATGTGGAAATCTAATACGCTCGGCTGAATGGCAACGCAAAACTACTATTGGCAATAAGAGCAAGACCAATTATGAAATCATATTCAGCCAAGTTGTAGCCAACGAACTCAGGAAGAAAGAGCTTCTTATATTTTTAGGCTTTCCAGGTTAGGTCATGTGTCATCATGTTCTGCATGACATGAAATTGTTAATCCATTAATAGAGAACAAGTCATTTCCAGTCCCATTGCTGTCATTGGTATTTGCATTTGGAATTAAGCAACCTCATCATGAAATCCGCATTAAAGATGTGCCTCTTCCCTAGCCCCAACTTTGCCTTCATGTCCTCCATCATGTCTTACGCACCAAGTTAAGCACCTACAAAGGATAAGTGAAAACGTCATTTTGACACAATATTCTCACCAAACATTATCACACATAAGCATGGGTGTAAAGACAGGGTATTTTAAAATACCCTGTTATTTACTCTGTTCACTCCACTCTAGGAAAACAGCTTTTGTCGATCTATATCTTCATCAAACATTTTGATGACAGTCTTGCAAAAATTGTCAGATGTCAGTGACAAAGTATAGTGTTGGGATATCATCACTTGTTATCCCCATATAGTTTATTGTCATTTTCAATTCCATTACTGTCATTGTTAGTACACATCGTGTCATTTAAAACCAAAGGCTAACCAAGGATATACTTACATCTTCCCCTCTTCCTCTGCCTTGGGTCTATGGGATATGAAAGTGAAAAAAAATATCCCTTTCCTCCTCTGGCTTCTTCGTCCTCGGCGCTGTCTTGAACTCCATCCACAGAGATTTAATTGTAGAACTCTTTGTCCTTGTTGACTTCCTCAGCTCAGTGGATTTTTCAAGTCCTGCTTCCTCCCCATTGTCACTACTCTCCCATTCATGATCCAACAGCAAAGGAACATTAGTAGGGCTTACAGTCTTTGCATGTGTGTCTTCCTTACCCTCATCATCTGAATCCTCAACCTCCTTATCATCATCTTCCACCTCGTCAACCACATAATCATGACTAATTTCCATGTCATCAGGGTCATCTTCTTCCTCCTCAACCACATGACCTCCTTCCCTGTCATCATGGTCATCTTCCTCCTCATCCTTGTCGTCATCATCATCACCTCCACGACCATCACGGTCACCCTCATCTTCCACCTCCTCAATCGTGTAATCATGACCTCCTTCCCTGTCATGAAGGTCATCTTCTTCTTCATCCTTATCCTTCTCATCATCTCCTTTGCTGGTTTCATCCTCATAAAGTTTCTTATCTCTACTTCCCGTTGCAACCTCTCTTACAATCCCCTCCACCACTCAGTCAATGTCTTCAACTGCTTCAGCGAATGTTACCACCTGCATCACTAATTGTTTCACCCCTTCTTTAGCAGTGGCCTTCTCATTCCCCACCCCCTTGACTTTGGCATTCAATCCAATCTGCACTTTCATTAGCTTATCATCAAGAGCCTTCATTAACGTCCTCTGGCTTTCTTCAAGCTTCTTAATGAAATGATCCCTCAACTCCTTCAAAGCCTGCATACATAGTAAATAAAGATATAAAAAAAAATTGATCACTATTATCCAATACCAGTATCTCAATGGTCATTTGCAAATAAAGTCTTGTTATCTCAAGCATCAACCTTGCTAATAGACTTACTTAGGCTCAGGTCAGATAAATTTTCTAAATTCCCACATACCGGATCTAAAGACTACAGAATTGGACTGTTATCATATCTTGCTGAGTAAACCTTCCCGCCACTACTTCCATGTAATATTCCCATGCTGCTACCTCTCTCTTTTTCCACCCTCTCCTTTATCTTCTCCTCGGTCCAATATTCAATGGGGCTTGTTGAACCCCAGTCAACAGACAATCCCAATGGAAAACGCTTAGCAAAATACAGCTGCAAAACCAAATAAATATAGGTCAAACTTCTGCAACAATAACATAAAACAAAATTATAGTGACTGGTAAAAATATTGACTTACCAGCAATAAATAAAGACACCCTCTAACATTGCAGGTTCCTTTCTTCTTCTTCTTCTTTGTCATCTTTACAAAGTCTCCCATATCCTTCCACAGGTTCTTGATTATGTATGTTGACCAATCACATTTCCCAAACCTATCCATTATGCAATGCATCACTTTCGACAAACTTAAATGTACAGTTGTGCTTGACCCAGGACATAAAAAAGCTCTAACTGTATAAAGCATAAATAGGAACTCAAAATTGTCGTTTTCTATCCCAGATAATATCCTCTTTAGTATTTGGGTAAATAGAACCTTCCAATATGTGTCCTTTAACCTCTTATATATCGGGTCATCCTCACCAACATCAGATTTCACTTCCTCCCCACTATCAGGTACACCTAGAAACTTATGAGCATCTTTTGCTTCAATTGCCTGCCCTTGCCCCCTAATGGTAAAAAAATGCGTTGGTGGATCATAGCATCTTAACAATGACACAAGTAGATCACGTGGAAGATGCTTCACATTCACATTAAGCAATTTCCCAAATCCCATCCTCTTAACTTTCTGCCCTAACCGCCTGTTCTTCACGTACTCAGCCAATGATAGAAATCCGGGCAATGAGCATCGGGTGTACAAGGGAACATCATACTTCTTCTTCTCACCTCTCTCTGGCTTTGTTTTCTTTGCCCTCTCATTATACCTATCTTTCTCTTCATTACTCAGCGCCATCCATGCCTTCCCTACTTCAATTTTTTCTTCTCTTGCATTTTTACACTTCTCCCCTCATTTTGCCATATACTCCCTTCTGAACAACACAAGCCCACTGTGTATTCCTTTGCTTGTGGACCCTTCCCCTTCTTCTAACACCATCTCGTATAGTTCTACAAAGTCATCAATGTACCATTATTAAGTCATAATTATTATACATATACTAAATATCTAGTTCTTTCCAGGTTTGTTATGGTCATTTCCAGTTCCTTCATTGTCATTTATAATATGGCCATTACAGACTGACAGTAAGGATGCTACTATGAATATGGTTGTTTCCAATTAATTTATTGTCATTACCAATATGGCTATTACAGACTGACAATAAGGTCATTACTATGAATATGGTCATTTCAAGTTCCTTCATAGTCGTTTACCGGTATGTTATTGTCATTTCCAGTTCGTTCATATAATCTTTCCAGTCAATCAAATAGTAAGGTCATTACTATGAATATGGTCATTTCAGGTTCCTTCATAGTCATTTACCCGTATGTTATTGTCATTTCCAGTTCGTTCATATAATCTTTCTAGTCAATCAGACAGTAAGGTCATTACTGTGAATAAGGTCATTTCAGGTTCCTTCATAGTCATTTACCAATATGTTATTGTCATTTCCAGTTTGTTCATATAATCTTTCCAGTCAATCAGACAGTAAGGTCATTACTGTGAATATGGTCATCTCAGGTTCCTTTATACTCATTTACCAGTATGTTATTGTCATTTCCAGCTTGTTCATATAATCTTTCCAGTCAATTAGACAATTTTCCTACTGATTTGAAAACCCATTTTTCCATAATGTCACACTTCTCAACTTTGTTATAAAAAACAAATAGCTTGCTACAGAGACTCAGCATAAACCCTTAATCACCATTCTTGTCATTCACAAAATTCATCGCGTCATATCTAAATATTGCCTAATCATTGCTTCCCCCACTCACCTAGAAACGTCGACCACAGCATGAAACTTAAATGCCTAAACTTACCTCAGTGAAATGCAGCTGATGCTTGTTAACTACAATAGTGAATCACCACGTGCCAACCTTTGTCTCCACACAATCAAATAGACACGACAACGTTTGCCCTTCAAACAGCACACCCTTCCACTTCGAACTCCTCTGCTCTCTTACGCACACACTATTTCGGGGTCATCAGCTGTCCAACTTGCCAGCATTTTTAGGGCAGCAACGAGGATGGTGGAAGTGAGAAACTAGGAAGCACAAGTGGGCAGTGCACGAGTGGCAGTTCACGCCTCTCTCTCTCCGCTTTCAAACTCTGATTGACAGAAGGGCTTTTTGGTAATTGTCCAATATTTGCATAATCCCAAATCAGGCAACACTTCTCTATCTAGTAATACATTTGCTTAGCTTCCCATTTTGGCATTTCCTATTTTGAGGCTTCTTTATGTGTCATTTTCCCTAAATAAAATAGTAAGAAAGAGTAGGATTTACATCCCTTTTGTCTTAGTTTTTTTTTAGCCCCTCTTTTTTCGTCTCAGTTAAGAACTAGGAAAAATGACCAATAAAAAAACTGAAAAATATGATATTCCAAATCAGGCACCTAATGCCCCATTTGGTAGTAAGGAATTGAAGGCTAGGAAGTGGAAGTGGAACTAGAACCATACTTTTGGCAGTTTGGTATCATGGAACTTAATTGTTGATGGAAGTGAGTTCCTTGCCTATCCCCATGCAACTCAGTTCCAATCTCAGTTCCATGAGGCTTTTTCCTTCCCTACCCTTTGCCCTTTCTCCTTCCCTTCAATACCACCAACAACAATAGTCCTCCATAGCGACGGTGGCAAGGATAACGACTCTGACAAGGATGACAGAAGACGGTAATGACTCCGTCAAGGACGACAGAAGACAGTGATAACTCTGACAAGGACAACAGAAGACGGTGACGACTCTAGTAAAAACAACAAAAGATGACATCGACTTTGGTGATGACAACGGCCTTCATCATCCCTCCACCTTCAGCCTCCTTCTTCCATCATCACCAAAAACATTTCCCCTCTTTCATTGCCTCCTATTCTTTAGTAAAATGAAATAAAGAATTGCAATTAAGGAAACAAAAGGCATAGATCGATAGAGAAAAGGAAAGCTTACTAGGCTTTTTAGGCTTGCCATCGATCCATTTGTAGATGACGACTTCTTCATTGTCTACTCCTTCAAACTCTCACAAACTAGGAATGGTAGGTGTGTAAATAAGATTAGATTTTTGCCTAATTTTTGTACAAATCTGAAATGGATCGAGACTAGTTTTACATTATAATATGTTCTTTTTCAATTTGATTTAGATCGATGCATGGTGCTGTGTCTAATTTGGCTGGCGGTGAATTTTTTTTTTTCAATGATGGATCATGGATAATGGAGGGGTTTAGGTGGTGGAATTTTTTTTTGTGGGGAAGGGTATCTTAGTAATTTCTTGTTTTAATTACATATATGAATTAAAAATAATACATCACTTCTCAGGCCATACCAAACACACTTTAAAACTCATTTTCTATTCAACTTCTGCTTCCATTTCTACTTCTACTTCTAATTCCATAAAAACTCTTCCATCATACCAAACAGGGCGTAAGATGATGGTTGGCTCATTTTGAGGACATGAGGTAGCATTTTCTCATAAAAAATACTACCTCACAATTCTATTTCTTGTTTTAGAAAGTATTTGTAATACAGTAACATTTATGTTACTAAATGCTGCTGCTAGTATTATATCTATTAATTTATTTATAATTACAATTTATAATATAAAGTAGCACTTAGGGAGGCAAGTGCTACCACATAGTTGTAGAATTTTAGTTCAATTAATTTTTTTATAAAAAGAATTTTAACTTTTAATTATCTATTAGGGCTCTTTTTTTTCATTTCAGTCTGGCGCTCTTTTTCGTTTTCATCTGCACCCTTCTTCACTCACACTCACACAATTGAAAGCTAACGCCACCGCAACCTCTTGCTTGCTGCAACCAATAAAGCCATGAGCCCATCATTGCTACCAGCCATGCCATTGTGAAGCCATTTGTTCATCATAAAACCATGCTATTGTCCTCACTGCTGTGAGCAATTTTGTTGGTCTCCCATATTTTTGGCAAAGTCTATGCTCTCTTGTGTTATCATTGGTTGTCTTCTCCTTTGAAACTCCGATTGCTTCCTCTAGGTTCCTCATTCCTATCTCCCACCCAAGCTCTTTTGGTTTTTTATAGTTTCTATCATGATAATGATGATCAAGCATAAAAATTCTATAAGGCATTTAGGTGATTTTTAAAACCTTTGCTGGTTTGGGTTGTTCATTTCTGCCCTACAAATCGTAATTCATTATGGGATTTCTTTCGTTGGTCTCATTTTATTTCCTTTCCTAAACAATGGCTCTTACAATTATTTCATTAATGATCTAATGATCTAATAGTAGTATTTTTTTTTTCTGGGGATGTTTCAATTGTGAATTTCAAATCAATTACTCCTACATTTGGTGACTTGTTGGAACTCAAAAAATTATAAATTTCCTTATCCATAAAAAATTCATTGGCATTATTTATATGTCTACTCATACTCTTTTTTTTCTGATTTATCCTTTTGGCATTAATTATTTATTAGAGATTTGCACAACACATCGCTTGCTGGTGAAATACAAAACTTGGGCAGCTAGCAACATCTTGAGAAACTGTAATGCCTCCCAAGAGTAAGAACTTGATCTTTGGCTTTATGCAAAAGATATTTAATAACTGCTCCAAAGTTTAAGAGCCTGAGTTTCAATTAGCTAAAATCCTTCAAATCTTATAAGTACTAAACTTTGAAATGTTTATAACACTCAGAGCTTAGCTAAGAATATAGAAGTTTGAACTCTAGAATAATCATACTATTATGATTTTAAGCTTAACTTGTTAAGTGAAGTTCTTGGTTATGAAGGTTTAAGAAACAAGGTTAAAGTCCATTAATAGTTCCATGAATAATATACTTTTAACTATAATATTCTCTTGTCAAAATTTTCTATTTGAAAAATGATATTGCAGATGCAAAGTGGTGTACATTCATTTTCTTTTTCACTTTATGATTACAAACTTGCAAAACAATAGGCTCTAAGGATTGTTCCTGATAGCTTGGGAGAGTTAGAATACCTCCACTTTCTACAAGTTTAATTAGCATAAGAAAAGAAACATCTCATAAAATCATATGACAATAATTTTCTTTCTATTTATTTTTCTATGTATCATTTTTTGCTTTGTACAATATGTTGTTTTACATTCTTCAGGGATTTGGAAAACAACAAGCTATAAGGTCAACTACCAGAGTCCTTGAGCAAAGCAACCTCAGAGATCAGGTATGGAGCTATTAAATAGGCAAAATCTCAAAAAAAAACCCTTGGAATATAGAGAATTCCTGATTCGGTCTTGGAATTGTGTAAATGATAGAAAAGGTCAATGACCCAATCTATCATTTGTAAAATCAAGAGGAATTGACAACTTTACCCTCATTTGTATTCATTTACTACAATGATTTAAGGAATCACTATAAAGGTTTAGGTGTTACCTAGATTCTTGTAAAGAATAACTACTCACTTTTTTATAGTCAGGAATGCCCCATGCGAAGTTTTATTGTGAATCAATACAACTAATCATGTAATCACTTTTGCTTAGCTAGGCATGTGAAGGTGCCTTGTTATTAACTACAACTAATCATGTAATTACTAAAACAGTGTAAGCATTACCTAAATTCGTTTAGAGAATAACTACTCACTTTTGCTTACCCAGGCAAAGTTGTCAATTCTTCTTGATTTTACAAATGATAGATTGAGTCATTGACCCTTTCTGTCATTTACACAATTCTAGGATCCAATCAGGAATTTCCTATATTCCAAGGCCTTTTTTGGGATTTTTCCTATTAAATATTTTTTTTAAATATGCAAGTTGATACCTCAAAATTATGAAGGCAGATCAATAATTATATGCTTATTTGTTTCATTAAGATTGGTTTTTTAATTTATGTTTAATTACTTATCCCATTGATAATTTGAAGGTATGAGATGTTAGTCACTTTGTTTGACTTTAGTTTCTATGAGTTTTACATTTGTTTCTATTTTCCTTCTATTTTTTATTAGACCACCATTGATCTTAACGGGTACTATCACACACACACACACATGCATATGTATATGGCTTGTTATTTGCTGATTCTACTAATGAGAATTATGTGATTCTATTAAGTTTCTTATATCCCTCAAGAAAGAGCAGGACATTTGAATTGCTTGTGTTGTCAATTTTAGTTAAATTGAAAGTTACGTTTCTTAATGTTCATTCAACTCCATGCTTGTGTACATTTTATTTGGTATAGTTTTGCCTAATCTTTGCATAATTATTGAGCTATTAGAACTTCAGATCAAGTTGTTGCATGATTGTGAGTCTATTTTTTTTAAAGGCATGTATAAATAGATTATTCTATCATTTACTATTTCTCTTCAAGTATCCCTATTCTTGCCTATATGATGATGAGGTATAAATCCAACATTTTAAAGAGGAAAGAGGAAAAAGGGGTGTTTGAAGTTATTGTACGTACAACATACAGGTTTTAAGAAGGCTCGTGGAGATCACTAAAGATATAGATTTTCCACATTATTGTAATGTAAAAGAAAACTTTAAGCTCTTGTAATTATTCCAACTGGTCATGTTAATTATTCTTAATTACCTTGTGTCTCTCTCTCAACACCCAAGTCACCTTTTTTATTGTAGAACGGACGGCTATTGGACATCTCATGCATGACATGTTAAGAGATTCCCCTCTCTTACTTTCAACAAATGGAAGGAAGGTATATATGTTTCATCAACATACTTCCTCTGCTTTTGCATTGGGCTATTTTACTGTGTTCAAAGCTTTTGAATAATATAATAACTTCTCGTTACCTATTGACACAGGTTTTGGAGGTTCGTCATGTGAGATTGGAACAAAGGAAAATAAGTTCTTCGTAGGCAAATGGGATAGTCCTAATAGGTAATTTTGTCAAATCTGACTGAAAGTTCTTTTGAAAGAGCAAGGCTTTGGGTTCTAAAGAAGGCTCGGAAGGGATAGTAGTCAAAGATATTAGTTGAAGGCCTATAATGTTTAAGATAATTGGACTTGATTTTGACATATTTTGAAGACTGAAAAAATCAAGTATAGCAATCATGTTAAGCAAATTGATCCACCAGTGGAACAAATTATGTGTATTCATGGAAGTTTGATCACTAAAGAAATATATTTCTCTATTGTGAATATCGAATTTGCTAGTTTATGCATGCTTTTAATTTTTAATTAAGGTTGCAATACTTGTACTGCTTCTTTGGGATTCACTCGTTATACTTGAATAGCATAATGATACAAGTATTATGAAAATTATTTTTTTTTGCCAACGTATCATGAAAATTATATAATGATTAGAATTTATAATTTTTTTATTATCAAATATATTAGTATTTATGTGGTGATCAATGGTAAAAAAATAAAAAATGAATTTTCTTAAGAAAATAACATCAGATAGCATTTATGAGACATAAGCGCTGCCTCATGTTAATTTTTTTTAAAAAGACCATCATGTATTAGGTAGCGCTTACAAGACATAAATGCTGCCTAATAGCATACAAGTAGTAGCGTTTCAACGAAATGCTACGGCTGTCTATTTTCTTTAAATTTTTTGTAGCATTTCTCAAAGCGCTACCTGATCATAAGGTAGCACTGGCATACGAAGCATTTGATAAATGTTACCTATTAAAAATTTTAAGCATTACCACTCCACTTTTTTGTAGTAATGCAGCTTCCTTACCTGACATGTGTAAGAGGAAAATCCTAGAGGCTAAGATTTTGTTTACCACTAAGAAGCTTAAGTTCAGAGATAATGACAGTTTTTCTGAGATCTCTAGCCATTTTTCAACGGATGATATCATCTTAAGCTGTAATTTTCCTCTCAACTAGGTTAAATTAGATTTTTCTTAGCTTGACACTTATTAATTTTTTCTCAATCCCTCCATCACCATTCTTGTAGGAAAATGGGCCAGTCCACCCTTGGTAGATTGGGCCCAAGCCCATTAAATTTGGGGCTCTAATGCAAATAACATAACCTGTGGGTCTTAAATAGTTATTTGTAATTTTTTCTTCCAAAATATGGATAAGGACAAAGGGGGCGGAAGTTTTATTTTCAAGAGATAAAATTAGTTTGACAAACTGATTTTTCCAACCGGCTTGTTTTTCCTCCCGCCTGCGTCTCTCTTCTCTTCCTAAAACACAAAGTGCATTTGCTGTGAACGTTGATTCCCACTCCATTACCGTGATCGGAATTCCGCGCGTGGCTATCTGAATTTGAGATTACTCGACACTTCAGGTATGCCCGAAAACCATTATTGGTATCAGAGCCTCCTCTATTTCTTCCGCTACCCTGTTTCACCTTCTGCGTTTTCATTTTTTTTTTTTGTGTGCCTCACGGTTTGGCACTTCATTCCCACTTCAGTGATTTGCTCTCAGATATTAAGCAAATCTTCTCTTTATATTCAGCATGATAGTTGTTTATGACGATTCTGTGTTATTTAATAGTTTTTTTTTTGCTTCCATGAACGTCGGATGTGAGAGTTTTTTTTTGTTTGTTGTCTCCAACAATTATAT